GAGGGAGGGAAAAAAAAAGGGGGGGAAAGGAAGGGTGTGAACGAGAGAGGAAGAGGGAGAGAGTGATTGTGAGGAAGAGAGATGCACTGCTCATTCTGATTTTGTTCTATATGATATATAATATATATTTATATATATATATATATGTATTAATAATAACTATATGGTAGATAGTATAATTATTAATCAATATAATTAACAATAAATAATAAATATTAATATGTGCTTGCTTCAGGCTGTGTGCGTGAAGTCAGCAACAGCTCTCCAACATGCTGCATCAACGACCTCATTCGCCAGCACAACTCCGTTCGTGGTGGCGCCCTCTGTGAAACTGGTCGATTGGAGCAGGTGAATCGCGCGATCGTTCACGCAGCTAGAGCGGCTCGTGCGACGATTCGACGAGGACGCGTCTGCCGTCAAGCAGCTCTACTATTGATCGATGGCTTCACAGGTACGTACGCGGACGCATGGTAGCTATGAGGCAGCAATGGGATGGGGAAGCCTGGGTTGTACATGGATGATGTTAGGGGGCCGCCAAGCGGTACGTAACATACGTAAGTAACGTACGGCGTGATGAATGCATCTGTGCATGCGTGTGTGGTTCCCGAACGTGCATGCATGCAGTGACATTGCGCGGCTATCTGTTACTAGGGAAAGAAGCAGATGGTGCGCGTATACATATATACATATCTGCTTCTCTCTCCCCGCATATGTCTCGTTACAATGTTGACGTTAGCTGACCACAGCCTGCATCAGGTGAGGGTGGTGGACACTGAACGACTATGTATATGTACACATGTCTATAAACCATCTCACACACACTTTCTCTCTCTCTTGTCACATCATTTACAGTGGTGTCACCGTTGACGCTAGCTGACCACAGCCTGCATCAGGTGAGGGTGGTGGACACTGAACGACTATGTATATGTACACATGCTTATAAACCATCTCACACACACTTTCTCTCTCTTGTCACATCATTACAGTGCGTGTGTCACCGTGACGTTAGCTGACCACAGCCTGCATCAGGTGAGGGTGGTGGACACTGCAACGACTATGCATATATTACACATGCTTATTCTTTCTCCCGCCCTCTCTCCCTCCATCTTCCTACCTCTCTCCCTCCATCTCCCTTCCTCTCTCCCTCTATATCTCACCACCATGCTTACCTCATACCCAGGCTCGCTTCTCACCGCCTCCACAATGGCGAGAGCCATGAGATGCTGCAGGAACGGGGTTCGTTTGCCGAGCACAGACATCAGCGGCACGCGCACGACTGCGGAGAACATCGCGCAGCCGCGCGGGCTGATCCACGCGTTGCCGCTGCGGCCGCGTCCCGCCGTCTGCTGCCGCGCGATCGCCACGACGCCCGTGTCCGCCGGCGTCACAAACATCAACCTGTGAGAGACGTGCGATCGGTTCATGACTGATGCGGCGTGATGCGAATTCACTAGTAACGATGTCAGGAGTGTATAATAGATAGAGTATAATACAGTGATCTATATATTATCAAGAGCAGATAATAACACATCCTCATGTGCTCTTGATATTATACACTCCTGATGTTGTAGTGAATTTGTAGTTATCTATCGATCGATCGAACCATCGATCCACCCATCCATCCATATAGACATATACACCAAGACACCAATTAAAGGACTAGTGTCGAGCTTTTAAACCTCAAAATAACCCAGTCACACTTCAAGTATGTGTTTCTTTTTATCCTTCAAGTTTGTCAAAAAAATCCGTCAAAATAAGCACGCAGTAATGTTGTTACACCGGTTTATATATTCGAAATCTCTGCACTGCTATAAGAAATGCTGGATCGCTGATGTCACCTGTGTGACGTATTTGTAGCCGTATGCGGCGCTGCAGCTAGGCGGTTCGTTGTAAAGTGTGTGTTTGGAATGGGGAACCGAGTATGATTTAGACGAGTTAGTCCACAAATCTCACGTTTGCTTCAATCAACGTTGTTTCGTTATATGTCGCTGAGAAAAAAAAAAACGCTGAGACGTCGGCTATATTATAAGAACTAATCTATGTACTGAGTAATATTAAATTCTTTACTTAACAATGGAGGTTCACTTTATTAATGTAAAAAAAAAGTAATATTTGGAACTTTGGCGTAAGCGAATTATTAACTTTTTTAACATATAAAAGCTATTGTGGTTGGAAACGCGATCAAATGGCAAAGTGCTTCATTTAACGTTGTTTCAGTTTAAGTGACGGTTATCTACGACTACGACAATGTTACTACGACGTTAGTGAGCGAATTGGTGTATATATATATATATATATATATATATTGACTACAATGACGATAGTGTTTAACTACCGGAAATTACCCTCACTCCCCGAAAATGCCCCAACGTTAATTGTGTGTAAACAACGCCCACATTCGAAGGCCCCGCGTGCTACATACACGGCGCCACCTACCTGTCGAACAAGGTCATCGTCGTTGGCACGACCTCGCAGAACATGACAGCCTGTCCTAGGACCTCCGTGTCGAGGCTCTTGAAGTAGGCGACCTCGTCAAACGCCCACGTCGTCGCGTCGCCGTGGCGACCGCCTCCGCCACCGCGTTCCTTGTGGAAAACGCTGCAGTTGCCGTTGCTCGGAATCACGGTGTGGTCACGGTGAATGACCGGCAAGAGGTCAGGGGTCACGGCGACGTCGGGGCTCGTGACGGTGTCCGAGGTCGCGGTGAGGTCAGAGGTCACAGTTGGGTCAGAGGTGAAGCGCAGGGAGACGACCTTTGATTGCAGGACGCCGTTGACCAAACTTGGGTTGAGGGCAGAGAGCAGCCTCTGTTTCACAGCCTGATCAATAACAACTCGATTAATCACTGATTTCAATCAATAAATTAATAAACAATAAATAAATAAATAAATTACATTCAGATTTTGCTCAATAAATAAATAAGCAAAATATGATGAATCAATAAAAGATTACCTAATCTCTATCAATGAATTATTATGCAACCTATGTATCAATATGCAACCTAGACATGAATCAATAAACAGTGTCCTCATCGCGCATTTGCATCATGGATTGAGGTGAAGGATAAATACCACAGGATATCAGCTCTTATCACTGCATAGGTATGGAATGCAGGGCAATGCAATAGCAACAACTGCAGCTATATCAATCCAGAGAGTGATGGATGACCGCATTTCAATGCACGCCAGTACATGCATATATTATATATATATATACAGGTATGTAACATCTATAAATAATACATAGATGTGGAGTCGTTCATAGTACGTGTACACAATATGACCACATTTATACACACAAAACGCATATATAAATGTATGATGTATATGAAATGATGTTGTATACACGAACCTGATGTCTTAGTGTGTGGGTAGGCACGGGTTCGCAAGGGTGGATCCCACGGCCTACAGTCAAATACACAGACACGCATGAACACACTCATGCACGCACATACGCATGCACGCCCATACGCACATATTTGTCAGTAATATTAACTACGTGCACACCTCAGACTTAGTGTAGAGATAAGCAGGGGTGAGGCAGGGTTGTTCGTGTGGCGTACAATCCATTCCCATCCTCTCCAGTAGATGACGCACTGTGTCGATGCGTGCGCTGTTTGCTTGTTTCAGACTTGTGAACATGTCCTCACTGACTCCGGCCTCTGCCGGCTCCATGTCAAGCCGCACCTATAAACAAGAGAGCAACCCGGTAAACAATGGCAACACTGGTAATCTACAACACAATAATAAACAGATGGGTGATCAACAACAACACGTATACACATAGTATAGCATTACACACATTATACATATATACATTTAACCAAGGGAGTCCAACGAACTCATAAAGTCGACCTTTTCAACTTTGATCAGAAATGCTAGCATGCTATACTCCTGCAAAGTATCATCACATATTGCGTCAAAGGATAATCCGTGATAACAATGGGAACTTCTTGCAACTATTACATGGTTCATACAGGAGGACTGAAATTTTTTCCAAGGACTTTTCAAGCACTTTTCAAAGACATTTTATCGGAAATTCAAGGACATTTTATCAGACATTTTATCGGAATTCATACACAGAACAAAACATACTATTACCTGGATTATCCGATTAATTTAATAACCCCATTCTTAATCACTGCATGTCACATCTAAAACTTACCTGGATCACATTAATAAACCCTTCTAAACACTGTCACTTTTACAACATACCTTGATTTACTGACTGATTTTACTGACTTACTGTAATTTGTGATCATCATTTAACTGTCTATCGGTGTCTAGACTATAGCTTTTTAAGCTCATTTAACGCAATTTTTATTGAGGTTTGCACATTATTGATGGTACAAAATTTCGTTTTATTACAGGCAAGGATTCTTTCTATAAATTCAAGGACATTTTCATGAAATTCAAGCACTTTTCAAGCACAAAATCAACATTTACTAAATTCAAGTACTTTTTAAGGACTCCCCTCAAATTCAAAGACTTTTCAAGGACTGTGCAAACCATGTATTAGGAGAAGCTGCGTTACACAAACGCGGTTACCCGAGGTACAATATCGGCTGTTGTGACGAGCGATGCATTAATTTTCATTCTCAGCGTCACACCTATGCATTTTTCCAACATGCTCCATGAAGCTATCATGCCCCCCCCCCACACACAACACTCAATACAGCAGCTAGCCACTTTGCATGCAAGCACCACCCGAAAGTGCATCGCACACTGGCTGCTGTCTGGCTTACAGTGTGCGCCTCACAAACCTTCTCGGGACGCTTGCTGAAACACTAATGCTCATTTCCATAGAATGAACTGGTATTGTGGAAATTTCAATGAGTGAAATGGACTCCTGCATGTCAAACCAGAGAGCCTGACAGTCGATCAGGGTGTACTTGGCTCTGGACTCGTGTGCTAATTTTGAATTCCATAATATAGATAGGTACATAGCCAGAGGTAGGTTACCTGGGATAACATAGCACAGCCGCCAGTCTCCGTGCTTCTCACTTCCGCCACCAGAGTGTGCTGCGTGTCCTTGTCGGCGACGACGGCCTCGACGCTTAGCGACGGCATCAGCACGTCTCGCGTGTCATACCAGCGACCCTGCGAGAGCAGACGCGCGTCACATCCCGCGGGCGTCGTTGCCGTGACAACGACGCGCCGCCGCCGCTGCGTCTTCCGCATTGGCTGCACGCCGACGAATCGCTGATCGAGCGGCGAACACACGCTGAGGAGGCGCCCCCCGGTGGCAAAATACCGCATCATGGTCTCCTCGACGCCCGGCTGAAGGTGGTCACACGAGACGAGAAGCAAGGTGGCGCCACCCACCCACGGCGCGCCGAGGGCCTGCTCCGACGTCAGCCGGTAGATGGCGTAGCTGTCGGGGTTGAGGCACAGAGAGAGGGCGCCACGTGCAAGCTGGTAGCGGCGGGCGGAGTCCTCGCCCGCCCCCGTGTACACGAGAACGTTCGGCGCCGTAGACGGGGCCCTGTAGGGGGCGCCGGCAGGCGCGACGCTCGTCCCGCCCTTGGTGCTGGCATCTGTAACATTAGATCGAGCAGACGATATCACATCCGGCAACGCCGCTGTCACGTCGTCCTCCCGCCAGGGGGCGCCGGCATCGCGGTTCGTCTCTTCATTCCCCCGCAAGGGGGCGCCGGCGTCGGGACTGGCTAGACTCGCCGTCTCGGTCGATCGTGACTCGGTGGAGGAGTCCGTGTCGGCGATGGCCCCCCTGTGCCTCCCCCTCCCCCCCGCACCGCGGCGACCCCCTCCCCCCGCGGCCTCACCCGCGCCGGGCCGCCGGGCCGCCATCTCCTGCCCGCCCTCGTACGACTCGCCACTGAAGTCGCTGACCTCGGTGAGTGCCACCAGGTGGCAGGCCGTCTGCTGGACGATGAGATCCTCGATGCGCAGAGACACGTCGCCGCTGCTCTGCGTCGAATCCGACGACAGCGTCTTACGCGACGACCCGCGCGACATCGACGCCTCGCCGGCGCCCCCTGCTGGCACGGCGGTCTCCTCATCAACGCCTCCAGGTGACGCTGCGGGAGGCTCGTCGTGCAGAGACACCTGGCAATGCATAGCACGCAGCGCGGCGCGGTGCGGGGAGTCAGGTGCGCCTCCATCGTTGGCACGCTCCCACGGAGCCCCGCGCGAGTGTGGCTCGCTCTCGGACGTCCGCGCGGCCGCCAGGGGGCTCTGCGGCTCGCCGTGGCGAAACGGAGACTCGCGGCACTCAGGCACCGGTGATAACGTCCCGCTCGGTGGCGCCCCCTGCACGCCACACCGCTGCACGATGTCCGGCGGCGCCCCCTGGGGGCTGTCGCCGAGCACGACCTCGTTAAGCAGCTCGTTAATCAGCGTCGTCTTGTCGACGCGCCGTTCCTCGCATCCGCCGAGAAACTCTGCGACAGTGACGCCCCCTACGTCGCGCAACGCAAACTCCCCGTCATCCGCCGGTTCCCCCTGGTGGCCCGCCGGTTCCCCCTGGTGGCCCGTCGGTTCGTCGGACGCCGGCGGCAGAGGCGGCTCCAGCTTGCGCGAGATGAGCGTCGCGAGGTTCGTCTCGGAGATGCCACGAGAGGGCGCCGCCGTCACGAGGCTCGCGCGGCTGCTCGGCGCAGAGCTGAGTTGGAAGCGCGGCGTGCCGTCGCCCCGATCCGAGTCCGAGTCCGTGTGGCGCCCCCAGGCGATGGCAAAGTCCAGCTCCGAGTCGACAAAGTACATAGACGAGTTCGGCGCGCAGTAGCGCGAACTATCGGTGCCCTGGTGCATCGTCTCCGAGTCGTGCGCGGACACGGGCCGCGAGGGGGCGCCGCCGTTCACCTCGTCGCCGCTCGTGCGACGCCGGAAGTCGGCGAGGATCTGCGAGACCTTGCGCGCGACCGACGCGACCCTCGGGAGGCTCCAGGGGTCGGGGGTCGCTGGATCCGCGGCGCGGGGCGACCTCGCGCCGGCAGTGGAGCGGCGGCCGTGACGCGGATGCGGGGCGAGTGACGCTGAGTCCCTCGCCGCGGCGGACTTTCTGGGCAACGTAGGTGGCGCTGTGATACAGAGCGAGAAGCGGGATGAGTTGCAGGGAGGAGGGTATGGGTGGGTGGGGGGAATCTCATATCGCTTCACACGGCCTTTAAAACGGCGTGTTCTCGCAGCAATAAGAACATTTCGTGATGTTTGCATGATACTGCAAGTATACTCACAGTAGGTGTATGTAGGCTTTTTGTTGCGAGGTTTATCCATTATGCCACGTTATCATATGTGACCCGAGAACTTCTAGCTGTTACGTTTCAATTCGCTCTGTCCATGTGGCCCCCGATTGCGAACAATTCGTAGCCAGCCTGATTATACGTACGTGCGTATACAATATACACACCCAGGAATCACATGTGAACGAACAATGTGCAGTTTTCTCACCAGAGGGCGGCGCCATCGTCGTCTCGGCAGTGCGGCGGCAGAGGTGCAGACGACGACTCGCTGGCGCAGAGCAGAGCTGGGAGTCGTGAAGCAGCTGCTGAGGTTGACCCGTGAACGATACAGCTGTCAGGAGATGAAGGTAGACACGTACATATACACATATCTCCCTCCTCACTGCTGAGGTGGACCCGTGAACGATACAGCTGTCAGAAGATGAAGGTAGACACGTACACATACAGATATCTCCCTCCCCACTGCTGGGGTGGACCCATAAACGATACAGCTGTCAGGAGATAAAGGTAGACACGTACATATACAGATATCTCCCTCCCCACTGCTGGGGTGGACCAGTGAACGATAGAGCAGTCGGGACTCGCAAGGAAAGCCGATAACAAGAAACACGTGCTTCTCACTGTCTCTCTCTCTCTCTCTCTCTCTCTGTCTCTGTCTCTGTCTCTGTCTCTCTCTCTCTCTCTCTCTCTCTCTCTCTCTCTGTCTCTGTCTCTGTCTCTGTCTCTGTCTCTGTCTCTGTCTCTGTCTCTGTCTCTGTCTCTGTCTCTCTCTCTCTCTGTCTCTGTCTCTGTCTCTGTCTCTCTCTCTCTCTCTCTCGCTCTCTCTCTCCTCTGTCATTGCCATCAACCAATAAACATAACAAGCCACTCCAACTCCTGTAGTGAGCTCATTATTAACAGGAGTACATGAATAGATTCATCTCTAGTCAGGTTGCTATTTTTAGCCAACACCTATTGTGATTAGACAAAATCTATTATTAATCCCTAATAACTAACCCCCATGATGACTCACACATCATTCTGACGACTTCGAGCTCCTCCTCCAACATCAGGCATCCCCGCATGAAGGCCTGGCCAAGAGATGACAGCTCGGAGATGCTTAGTTCGATCAGCAGCCCATAGGGGTCGCCACCCTGCCACGCGAGCGGCGCGGCACTGTCACTTAACTGCCAACAGGTAGAAAACGTCGGTGCAAGAAACATGCATAATTAGCATAAAGGTATTAAAAATATATTCACTGCTATATATAACAATCATATCTATATACACCTGCTGCTACATATATATTTGAACTACATGTAGACTTACCTACATGTACACATATATACATACAAATATATATATATAAATATATATG